TGCTGGTCGGATTTGTGTTTAATCGCTTCCCTTGACAATGCCTGTAAACTGGCATTTAATTAAAAATTTATTTAATTTATTTATTTATCGATCTGCAACAATCCTCGCCTCAGCGCAAATAACATCCTTATCGCACTTTTGGCTGCCCTTTGACACTGTGATGATGGTTTCAGCGAGGAGGTCATTAGGATGCCCAGATCTTTCTGTTCAACAACATTTTAAAGGGGTTGACCACCAAAGACGTATTGAAAGGAATCGCGTTCTTACTGGTCTTTTTGGTGCGGAGTCTCAGGACCACACATTTGTCCACATTAAAATTAAGGAGCTAACGATCTGACCAACTCTTCAGACGGTTGAGACTGTCTTGAAGCGCGTACCTGTCTGCGTCAGATCTGACGGCTCTTCACAGCTTTAAACTGTCAGCAAACATGATGGCGCTGCATCCCAGGTCGTCGACCCAGTCGTAAATGTAAATCAGGAATAGCAACGGCCCTAAGACGGAGCCCTGGGGTACACCACTTAGAACGGGGGTAGGAGTTGACCTTGAGGCCTCAATGCACACAGTTTGTGATCTCCCCCTTAAGAAAATCTGTTATCCATGTCAGCAGCCTTCCTCTTATCCCAATTTCAGAAAGTTTGTAGATTAGGTGTTTGTGTGGAACGCTGTCGAACGCTTTTTTAAAGTCCGTGTAGATGACATCGACCCTACCATCCTCGTCCAGAACGCGAGTCCATTGCTCCGTCGAGGGCAATAAACTGGAACGGCACGAGCGGTTCTTTCTGAAGCCGTGCTGCAGGTCTGAGAGTAAATGACCCTGCTCCAGGAACTTCATTGTTGCTTTCTTAACTATGGCCTCCATTATTTTACAGCAGATACAGGTTAGACTAACAAACCGGTAATTTTTAGCATGAGTGCGAACCCCGCCCTTGTATATCGGAAAGATATTTGCTGTCTTCCATTCCGATGGCAGTCTCCCTAATTCGAATGACGAGCGTAAGATGTGTGCCAGTGGTTTGGAGAGTTCATTCGCCAGTTCTTTCAAGAATTTGGCCGGTATATTGTCCAGACCCGAGGACTTTGCTTCTTTGAGATTTTTCAGCTCGCTTTCCACGGCAGCTGTCGGGAAGATTATGGAGTCAAGCACGGGACCAGCAGTCTCAACAGCATTGCTGGCACTGCGACAACGAAACTCTGTTTCTCTAGTAAAAATTCAGGCAAAATACTGTTCTAAGTGTTCGGCTTTCTCGATGTTCTCAATGATCTCTACACCATTATTACCCTTCAGCACCGCGACCGGGTCCTTATTTTTCATTCTACTGTTAACATAGTGAAATAAAATCTTGGGCTTAGGTTCAGCCTGTCGGATAATTTCGGATTCATAATCCTTCCGTGCCTGACGGATACATTTTCTGACTGCGTTTCGTTGACGACGAAATTCTTCGCAATGCACTGGTGACGCAGTTTCCCTGAATATTTTACATCTTTTACCTTTCTTCCGTAGCTGCCTATTTAGGTCCCTAGTTAACCAAGAAGGTCGACTAGTTACGTTTTGTACTTTAGGTGGATAGCAACGCCGAATGAGATCGAGTGAAATCGTCTTAAAAGATCTCCAGTCGTACTCCGGATCTCCCCTGAGTAATTGGTCCCAATTCACGGACAGAAATCCGTTCTTCATCGTGTTAAAATCTGCCTTCCATATATAAGGTTGGCCCTCTGTTTTCTTCTGGCGTTGAGAGAAGAGCGAGCAATCTAATAGTAACGTAGTATGGTCACTATTCCCGAGAGGTGCATTGGAATACACTTCGTCGATATTAGAGAAGTCTTTAGTGAAAACTAGGTCTAGACAATTCGCCCTCTGGTTCTTCAAAATCTTGTTGGTACCTTCACTAGTTGCGCCAGAGGGAGATCGAGTGTGAGTTCCAGTAGCTTATTGCTGAAAGAAGCTGACCCGCCGTTAACTGCCATAGTTTCCCACTCTATTGCAGGCGCGTTTAAATCCCCAGCAATAAGTACCTCTTGGTGGCTAGCTACGTCTTTGACTAAACCAAGAAGCGACTCATCACCTGCACTTAGAATGTTTGGTGGTCTGTAAATTGCCAGGAATTCTAGATTTTGTGCGTTGCTCTTCTTTATCTTTATCCAGACGGATTCATATTCAAGGGAGACGGTGTGGGCTCTTTCAACTGTCGAAATTCCTGCCCTTACATATACCACTACCCCTCCACCCTGTCTATTTTAACGGTCTCTACGAAAGAGCTCGTACCCCGATATCGAAAGCTCAGCATCCACGATTTCGGCATTAAGTCAGGTTTCCGTTATGGCGATGACGTCGGGGATTCGTTCTGATACTATCGCTTTGTGTTCGTCGATCTTCGAAACAAGACTTTGAGCATTGGTATACAAAAATCTCAATTTGGCAAGAGCAACTCCGGCATACAGGCGTTTATCCATTTCCTGAGATTGAATGTAAAAGCCGGTCTGAGCTGTTTGGGATGAACTGCTTTCCATCACTCCTAAGCTGTTAGAGTTATGGGCAGTCTCCAGAGGAATGGCCTCTGGACGCGTATAATTTTTCCGTCCACCATTCTGAGATTCGTTTCGCCCAGACTCGACCGCCTGAGGACTTCCAATTTGAGCCCCCTCCATTTTTCTCGCTCCGCGGGTGAAAATTCCTGCTGAAAAAAACCGATGGATGGGCATGTTGAAGCACAGATTTCCTACTCAAAAGTAGCTGCGCTTGTTCGTCATTCTCAAGGACAATTTTTAACGGTCTCGGTCGGTCTGGTTTATGTTTTGAGTCTTTTAAGTGGCCCATCCTGAAAGCCTTTAATACTGTGACTTTCTCGCCTCTTATTAAGATCGATTTGAGATATTCCTGGAATATTTCTATGTCATGCTGTATTCTGTCCTTTGGAGTGCCGGAAACAGACTCAGGCATGCCCTTTATAACAATGCCTTTACTGCGATCAACTAGAAAGCCTTGTGGTTTAATCATACCTGCAGAGTCTTCATCGCGGATACCCCGACTACCGCCTTCTACTGATTCAGGAAGGTTTGATTTGGCAGTTCTAACGCATGACTGCCTGTTTACCACGACCTTTTGATCATTTGTCGTTTTCGGCGGCGCGATTTTCGTCTGCGGCGTAGCCGACTCTTGTTTATTTATCTGACAATCTGTGCCTTTTCGAGGTACCCTGAGATTTCTTTTTGTTCGCTGAGATCGCGTCTGACCACGGTTTTCTCGCACAAGACACTGGTTGTCATTCCTATCGAGCTCTAGTGGCCTATTATTTATTTGTCCTCTGTCGATACAGCCGAGGAAGCCGTGTTTGCGTATGTTGGCTCACCTTCATTCTCTTTGGATGAATAGCGAGGGAGATTCCTCAGCTTCTCCATCTACACTTTAAGGCCCTTTATCTCCTTCTCCATTTCCGCAAATTTTTGAAGGAGTCCGAAACATGTCGTACAGGCTTCGTCTTTGTCTTTGATATCTATACAGCTTACTAGACTCCTTGCTCGTTTAACGGGAGGTGACTTGACAGCGATATATACAGAGTCGCAGTCGTTTCTACTACGAATAATGCTTACTCCTTTATTTATGTCAGCTTGATCGCCGTGTGCCGGTAGTCTAGTGGTGATCTCGCTGGTCACCCCACGATGGACATGGGTTCAAATCCCACTTGCGGCGAGTTTTTCGCACATTGTTCTGGCGGTGTTCTGTGGACTCCCATTATTAATTCAAACGATACGCAAGGTATTCTAGGTACGGACGAAGTATTTAAAGGTAAAGAAGAAGCTTTTTAACCAAGCCAACAATATGAAGTAAATAGCAAACGACTCAGCCGCTTTTGGATTTGGAGAGCTCCGCGGTGCTGTTGGCAGAGAATTAATACGAAATAGTATGGTCGTTCCAAAGAAAGTTCTGTCGGAGTTCCATGTGGATCGTTCGAGGAATTGATGATTTCGCTTCAATTTCTTAATCCAAATGGGCCCGCAGAGCGTCCAGTATGTAGAAATCCCGGAAAAGGGAAATCTGTCGGAGTTTGAAAATTCCAAACCGAATTCGAAAGGCGCGCCTTCCCGGTTTCTTGTTGAGTATCCTCGATTTAAAGGCTGTACATCACTATCGTAGGAGTTTCCAACTGCTACCCAGTTGATATTTTTAAATTTAAATCGATGCTCTGATCATGGAATTCTGGCACATTTTTAATCACCGACTGGCGCAGACATTTTTCATTAACTCCGATGTCACCTAATCTGTTAGTAAAATACTATCATAATATTTAGATGGTTCCATAATGGATACCGGAAACATATAACTGTTAAATATAGAATGGTAGCCTTTTCCTTTGCGTCTGTCAGTCAGTGACTTCACTGTCATGATTCTTAAATTATACCAAATCATCGTGTACAACTTCTAAGCAGGTTTTGCAGAACTGACGAACTGGACCATTTCTGGCTTCATGTAAGGTTCAGATATATTGACCCCTATAGTTGCATGTTTGATACGATGGTAAAGGGGATACTTAAGTAGGAATTCCTACACAAAAATAGGATGGCATTTCATTTTGTCACGCAATTCAACAAATAGATTTCAAAATGAGTACGAAATGATTATTTTGACAAGAAAAAGTCGTTTTGAGGAACACGTCACAACATTTGCGTAAGGCGAAGAGTTTTGTGAGGCAGCAACACACTCTGTGAGACTGGGAAGTTCCAAGCCCCAAGCTTCGGTATCGGTGTTCCAGGCACTACCTCAGAAATCTCTCAAGACAGGATATTGATGTAGGACTGAAAGTCGATGGTGTCCTTGTGGGGACTTAATTGGCATTTAGTTCCGAAAGAACAGGCTTTTGGTTCGGTTACGGCATTTTTACATTCCACACAGTAGGCGAATTTTGTTTGTTTTTCTAAGTCGCCAAACAAAGGCCGTTAGTAATGCTGACACCAAATTGGCACGCTCTATAAACATCGCGGAATCTTGTCGTTCTGCACGGCAATGGCTGGTATTCGGCAGAGCAAGTTTAAGCACGTATTTGGAAAAGCCCTTAAACGTGATGAATGTTACGAGTGCGTTCCAATAACCAAAGGCACACATGATTCTTGGCTATGTTGTGTAAATGTAAAGTATCTTGCAATTATTACGGAGTCGGCCGGCGGTGGTGCGTTCGCAGTTATTCCCATCGAGAAGGTACGTTTTGAGAATTAAATGTCTGGAATCGATTTTTATAATGCAAGCACTGTTGTGGACACTGTTGAGGATGAGATAGTGAGAAGTCAATGCCTGTGTCCACTCAAAACGTTCTGTTAATAATTTAAGCTATAATGTACGAAAATATATTGGTGTTACGAGTTTTTCGAGGTTTTATAAATGAAAGGTTCACTATAGCAAGGCAGCAGTGTTTTTTCTGGTACATAAATAGAAATAATATTAAGTTTATGAATTAAACGCGTATTTACGTATGCGACAGATAATATTAAAACGGGAATACGGTTGTACAATTACTTAAGTTTATTAAGCTAAAGGAATATCTAGTCTTCTGAACCAATGAACTGGTTTTCCTCAAAAATCAGTGTTGATATGAGTCCCAGAGTACAGCCTGTTTTATCTTTGGCAAGAGCTTTCCGAAGTCATAGATGGTATAACAACACTATCATTGGATACGAATTATTAATACAATAAAAGTACACTGCTCAGTAACTAAGAGCTACAGTTGCTGGAGAATGTACGTGGAAACAATTTGCAATGAGACGTTTTTCGTTTTGATTTGTCTTACCATTAGTGGTTGACTGGTAACTTACTAGAGATCTTTACAAAGAATTAATCGTAGCTGGCAAGTATGTTTCATGCCTTGAAGGTTCACGTTTATATTCTGGAGCTGACTCACGGCACGGTTTAAGCCAGTACATAAATCTTAGGCAAACCGGACTTCCGTCTACTTCCAACGGTCATAAGAGGAAGGAACTCATTTAACGAAAAAAAGTCATATTTTTCAAAACCATCTAATTGGTGTTAGAATACACAACTCGAAACAGTAAAGGAACGATAGCAAACGAGCATTTTTCTTTAGTTTCTTGCTATATGTAGCGAGTGTGCATTCTTGGAAGAGAACAGTGTTGCACCATCTGCCAAAGGATTATTAGTGCCCTATATGATCTGGAATATGGATACGCTAATTTTCGAGGTTCATTTGAGAGATCCAGACCACCATTGATTTTCAAATCGTCTCATTAAACATTCTCACTGTTATCTGTGTATCCACGAAATCTATGTCATGTTATACCTAGAAGATGTGGCTAACGATTCGGGCAGTTAGCCACACATCCAAATCACCATGTTGAATTTACAAACTTCGATGTTGTATGGTTTGGATCGCTCTGGTATAAAAGATATGTGGTTTATTAGGTACCATTACCAAGCCCATTATGCAATATATGTACCACTCTGAGGTTCAGTTCACGAACTGACGACGCAAAAAGAGATCTACCACCACAAATTGTTGGATAAATCCCAAAGATGGGTAATAAATGTGCTTTTTCGACAAAAAAATGACGAGATGAGCAGTTAAAAAGAGCGATCACTTGCAAAGTACTTTCTTTTGACTCGAACGATTCAAGTACCTGCCACAGGCTTACGATGCTGACCTGCACGTCATTTGTCATATTTTGCCGTCCCGGATTACGACATGTTTCACAGCTGTGAAAACTGCTCAGTAAGGGACTATATTCTCATTTTCAACATGACACTTGAATAAGCGGCTTCAACGCAATCTCTGTTCCATAGGTATGATTAACAGTACGAGTATCAGTTGGATAAGTGCTATAAAGAGTATAAGGACAGGAACGGAATTGCCTTGTACCGGCGCATAAAACTAGAAGGCAAGAGACTTAATGACCTATCCTTCTGAATGTATCATAGGATTTGAGAGAAACAGGACGAATTAACATGTCTTCACAAAAATTCCTAGACAACTGGTTGTAAAGCAAACGAATCAACTTCCAGTTTTGGCGCGAAATTTTTGTAAATAAGACTGTATTGGTGATCTTATTAAAAGAAGGCTTTGTGTGCGCAGGGTTAGTTAGTTTAAGCTAAATGATACCAAATTAGTGGAAATCATCAGTTCTCAAAACAGAATAGCAACATGAGTATTTGACTGTTCTGTCTTTTAATTCTATCCACAGGGGAATTCCTTGCACCATTCGAAGTGTTTCGTTTGCGTACTTAGGGAGAAATTCTTGATTTTTTTGGAAGTGTTTTCTTCTCTTCACCTCTGGCGAAAAATTGCCTTTATAAATTTCATATTCTTACCAAATACTGTCATCTTTGTGACTTCGTAAAAAGGATATGTAAACTGTCTCCCCATTTGGAGGGAAAACATTTTTTAAGTTGGTTGTGAGCGCAATTTAAATTTAACAGTTTGTGGCAGATTGCGCGGATAAAGCATATTGGAGAGAGGAAGACATTTATTTGGGAGCACTGAACAAAAACGAACACATTGAGGTCCACGATGTCTGCCAGAATATATTAGTGAACCGACCAAAACTATGCGATCTTCATTTCCCCATTCACATATTTAGGAAATGGCAAAGACTGAAACTGATTAACCAAAGCCAAAATCTCTGGGAAATTATAGTTCAACAGGAAAAATGAAACAGGGCATTTAAGTGCAGTAAGCACATATACCGTTGACATTTTAGCGGAGGTTTTCTGCGTTTTTATTTTTTAGACAGGACGACTCCCTACGGAATTGCCTCTAGTCACCGGCCATACTGCAGCTGTTCTGGATATCAAATGGTCTCCGTTCGACGATGATATGATTGCTAGCGCTTCAGAGGATTGCACCATAAAAATATGGCAAATTCCTGATGGCGGAATCGCAAAGGAATCCTTGCGTGAACCACTCACTACTTTGGCTGCCCATCAACGGCGCGTCAACTTGATAATATGGCACCCCACTGCAGAACACGTGCTTGTTTCCGCAGGTTTGTGGAATTACACGGTCATTGCAATTTTTTAAGCAAAAATTCATCTTCGTTTTTAAACTGTGCAATAACAACAACTGCCACTGTTTTTACATTGTCGGCGGAAGATTTGAGAGGGACAAATTTACATCGACACCAAAATTTTTGATTCTGGTGAATGACTAATGCTTTTTTGAGGAGTTCGCCTCCACGCAAACCAGTGAATGCCACTTTCGAGAATCGCTAAGATTTTTGAGCTTTCAAATAGCCGTATAGCGCACAGTAATAGCTTTATTTATCCTAAGACGCGGGTTTGTGATCCAGTATTTCGTAGAGAGGTTTCGTGTTTTGGTTGTTTAGTGAGCGTTAGGTGACGATCGCAAATTAATGTCAGTATTTGCGTTGCCTTGGAGTTCCCAGTTGCACTAAACCCAGTAGCAGTGTAATGTCGTAACTCATAGAAATTTCGCCTTCGAATATTACGTATGTCCTTTAAGATATGAAGAACCACGAAGTTAGCCTAAATTATGAAAACCTCCGTTTATTATAAGTAAAAAAACTTCTGGCCTTTCAGACTGTATTCGATTTACATCTAACTTGGAAATGGGTGCAGACCTTTAGAATCGTCCCAGAATTTTTTACTATGGAAAAAGTTCGTCCGGTAGATTTTACACAGAATTGTGGGTCGATCGTAAAATCCAAAATTTGTGACCGTTTTACAGGACTGAGGATTGCGCGCCGTCCATCTGGCCGCATCTTCCATCTGAACTATTTCGGAAATAGAGTGCGCACCGTCATGGAAGAAGCGGGTCTACAAGCACGAAAAATTCCATCGACTGAGCTGTGATAGGTCAGATTGTGCGGCCAAAGTATTGTAATAGGGAGGGCCGATTCATAGAACTTTTCTGTCCACCATCCGAAATTAGCTGATTGTAAATGACAACGGCACCACAGCGGTTGGTTCGACAGTCAACTAGAATAGAGTAAGATTTGGCTGGCACTTTCGAGCTACGAGCCTGACATGCAGATTATCTCACTTGCACACCAAATTGTCTTGTCAAAAACAGTAGAATTTGATTAAGACTATCGCGTTTAATAGGTGCCAGCCATTTTGCCTAGACCTGGTTACCCTAGTAAAAGACGTTCTTAAAGCAGCTCAGGAGTCTTATGCCAAAGAAAGTTTCCCATTGAAACATTTAAGTACTAATTTTTGTGCCGCCCAATGACCGAGAATAATCATGTTCTTGCCTTTCACGTATGCAACCGCTGTTTCAACAAACTTAGTTGGTGGTAGACTTTCGACTATGTATCTTTATTTCTGATTGTTCTGCTTTTGTAAAGAGCATTTTTCCCATAGTAACTAATAACTTTTGTTTAAAAAACCAAACATTAGGTGCCGACAACATGATTTTTGTTTGGGACATCAAAAACCCAGTGCCACTTCGATCCATTGAGTTACCAAACATCGCGACAAGCCTGAGTTTCAATAAAAACGGATCGAAACTGGCTGTATGTTGCAAGGATGGTCTGACCCGTATAATCGATCCAAGGAAGGGTACGACACTCGAGGTTAGTGGAATACGATTGTTTGCTAATCTCATTGGCTATAAAGCATAAATTTGGGCAGACGTCCCCTCGGACCTTTGGTAAATTACATGCACGCGAGTTTGCTTGTTGGACTTGAAAGGCTCTTTGCATAGTCACATTTTCTCACATGAAAATACCTTCGTGGAAGCAACTTAACTGGTAAAGAGCGAACGTGCCGCAAAATCAGTAGTCTTCTAATTGCGAAAAATTCGTAACTTTTCGCTACTTGGCTCCTAATATTCTACGTTTGATAATGTGTGAAAATATTTTAGTGGTCTTTCTGGCAGATTTCAATAAGTACGTGGACTCAAATTCTTTTTGGGTTCGAACCCAGCCGAGGCCGCCAAGTTTTCGTGACTTGGAGATGGCTTTTTATCCAGCTGTCCTCCAAGTAAGTCCAGCAAGAAGTCGGCAATTCACGGACTTTGTTCGCACTAAAACTGCCCGCTCTTCAGTTTCAAATTTGCGCACCTTCAGAGGCCGGCAGTTCAGATGATAAAAACTGGACTCTACGAAAGTGACAGAAATCTAATTATGTCGTGACGATACAAGCAGAGTAAAATAAGACTTTTTGCACAAACGAAACTCTCTTGGATTTAGTCTGAAAACAAAGGTCAGATAATTGACCGTTTCACTCGAAGTGGTATTATCATAAATGTTAAGCTTTAGTAGGCAGTTCGTTGCTAATTTGTTGCTATTCATAGCTAATTGCGGTCAAATCACCGGGCGACAGTATATCTGGTTTAGATCCCAGATAGACTGATCAGTGAATTTCATGCCCAACTAGCTGATCCACACTCTCATGCGCTGTCGACTGTGATTGGAAATGGCTCCCGCCACGCATGAGTGGCCCACATCAACCTGGCCTGACTGTAGAGCTTTAGGCTCAATTATTACACGGACCTGGCCTCGGGGGCTTCACCGTCTAATTCTGATGCATGACCAGTTGACGACTGAACCAATATTGAACATTCTAGTCTTTCAGATGTTTGTCGGTAATGAATCTTGAAGTCATTTAGAAAAAGGCCGCGGACCCTGTTGCCCCATCACAGTTGTTAATCCCAACTGGCCAACATATTTGCGTGGGATTTTCAGATATCGTTTTCAACATTGTGAAGAACGCGGATTAAAGTGAAATGGAAAATTCTCCACTTAGGGCATTGTGGACCGAGCCCTTCGTACTGTCTTCCGTCTCCTGTTGTTTTCCTGGTGAAAGTTGCTGGGACCGTTGCCATAAAAAAGGGTTTATCGGGCTACAGCAGGCAAGTAGGTCAGAATCCCCAGATTTATGACTGGTTTTACTCCTATCACCAATGTCATCGTGGTCCGAATTCCGGATAGCAGGTTCCTCATAAGAAATACAGAAATCAGCTTAGGATTCCCCATCGCAATAGACACTTTTGGAGTTGTTTCTAGCCTTGTTATTGGCTTCTTTGGTACCATTTGTTTTTTGCAGAGAGCCCGAAAATTGCCATTTCGCGTCTACGAGGCGATGAGCTTCAAATACAGACTTCCCCGTACTTGAGCTAAATATCCCTGTGACAGTAGCATCAGTAGCCACAGCTGCGACCGATTGTTAGTCACTCGGCCCCAATAAAACATCGAGCGCCTTGTTGCCATTGTCGCTGAAAAAAAACCGGTGCGCATCATAGAGCCTTACTCAAAGGCATGAGTCAGTTGTGACTCATGCTTCAGGCGTCCGAGTTTCATTCTTTGTGTGGTTGTGCCTTCATGCGTGCTTGCGTTTACGGGGCGGGAATTGGAAGCACAAGAGCGAGGATTTAGACCAGAAGCATGTCATCATGTACACAACCCGATCCTGTAAGGGAAAATCCCTGGATATGAATCTTTGACATGTTGATTCGTTACAGACACTGTAATTCGTATAAAATGCTTGAGACAATAGCCTACTCAAGTGTGAAATTAACGCATCGAATTCTGTACTTCCTGGCCATCACCCAGCGTAATAGTGGATCAGGTTGTTTGACGATAACACCGAGTAGATCGGGCGAAAAAATAGAAATCTGTGTTGCTACACGAAAGGGCGCCTGGATCCTATAAAAGCCTTACTGTACATGATCCAGCTTTTACGAGGCTTCGGAAATTATAACCCTATCTTTGTTATTGTACTCAGTAGAACATTGTTCGCCGGGCAGTTATCCGGGCGTTGGGGTTAAAACTATCCGAAGTAAGTTTTTAACTGCACTCCCCTGGCAGCCATAGCCATCGCGCACAAGACCTGATAAAATCAGTTGCTTAGGGGACCTATTTTGAAAGAGCCGAACTTGGTCTACTTAAATTTGCAAAAGTCGAGATTTCTTTGCCCATATTTTTTAAACCAAAAGACAGATAACTAATTCCTTGTCCTATTGTCGCTTTTCCCATACACCGCTGGCTGTAATTCCCCAAAACGTACCCGAGAAAAGGAAGGTAGTGCCAACATATTAACTAAACAGTGCCCCTCATACCTCGTATAATTTTAGAAATGTAGTCTGCGTCACTCTTGAAGACGGGTTTTAGTAGAAATGGAATCCCTGCTCACGATAAAATGGCTTTCCCTCGAGAAATAAAAAGAACTAATAGTTTGTTTAAACAAGTTTATCTCGGAGAATTTGCATGCTTTGCAAACACAAATCAAAAAATAATGGACGCTCTTCCCGTGGGCCTGTTAGTCATGGCCTGCAGAAGTGCTTTTTACATAATTAGGATTTCCTGAATGAAAGTTCCGGAATGAAAGATAAATGGAAATGTCTACCTATGTTACGGTGAATACATATTCATCCCTTTTCGGGTCAAAAATCGTTTATCGTTTGTGTTTACTTTGTGCGATAAATAGTAGTAATACGTGAATAATAGGCAATGGGTAAGTAATAATATGTAAATAATAGTACTAAATGATAGTTGTATTGAATACGGCTGGTTGGTTTTCTCTAAAAGAAAGCATTATTCACATGGTGTCCAGTAAGTTTACCTGTGATTGCCCTTGAAGGGCGGAATTATATTGCGGGTAATTTTTCGGTTAACAACACGCTGCGCGCCTACAGTCAAAGAAGTCATTTGCCTTGTAGTATGGGTTTTAACGATGTTGTTTTGCCAGTAAATCAATGCCGGAATGGCGGCTACGACGAGTGCCGTGTGCTTATGATCAACTTGATTTTTTCTTTCTGTATCACGAACAGTCGGGGACCTGTCACGAGGGTAAAAAGCCGCAACAGTGCATCTTCCTGTCAGACAACCGCGTCTTTACGACTGGTTTCTCCCGGATGAGTGAGCGGCAGTTGGCGCTGTGGGACGCGAACGACCTGAGCAAGTGCCTATGGAAGCAGGAGCTCGACACCTCTAATGGTGTCCTCTTTCCATTTTACGATCCAGACTGCCAGCTGATCTACACCTGTGGCAAAGTGAGCACGTTCACTCCTTCATATTCTCCTTCCCTTTCCTTTGCACCCTCCCACTGTCTTAACGTGATTTTCCTACTGAGAATTGATCCAGCATCCTCTCATTTATAATTTGGGATCTCCCTGCGTAGACAGGGACCAAATCGCCTATGAGTTTGATCTGTCAGGCCTCAGACAGCACCGAATTATGGGCTGCTTTCTGAGCTAAGACCACTGAATTAGCATTCGAGGCATTTCCTGAGGCCCTCAATCGAAGTGCGTCACCTAAAAGCTTTATCGATTTTCGTTTTGTCACTTTTTGATAATGTGGAGTTCTGCTAGTCACCAACTGTATTTGAAATTACATAAGGCATGGATTTTAAATAAGAATGATCATGAAGGGTACAGTTGTGTAATTTTAAGCATCAGGATTACGGCAAGGATTCCTGTCGGTAGTTGAGATGTTCATACTCGTGCCTACTGGTCCCACCTCCCTGCTTTCAGCCAGTACCACTTCTCCATTTACGTGAGTTATCCACCCAAGAGGCATAAGGTTGGATTCCAGCCAGGTTAATTAGCTCTCAGGGTTTCTTTTAAAAGGGGATAATAACTGCCGTCGGTTAATGCGGACTGTAAACGGATCAGAGAAGCCTGTCGTCATCAGTATTCTGTCCGAGAAGCTCAGGGATCTCTTCTGAGTTACGACCATCCTCCCGTGTTGAGATTGCATTGCAAGTCATCCACTCACCCCTACGCAGATGACTCTTGTTGCATTGAATTCACCGGTAATATTTGAATGCCGTCCTTCTATGCAAATAACTATGGCAGTTTAAATTTTAGGCACTGATTATTACTAGAGACACACTTCCAATGTTATTTTCATTCCAATGTTATTTTAACTATACTCCTCACTGACGTCTATTATGAGTAAACTTCTAGTGATGCCCAGCAGAAGTTCGAGTCTGAGATAGCCACTCACATCCTTCGTGAGGTTTTTCACCACTCGACCCTTTTTGCCGATCTCATTAGCTAATTACGACAACAACTCGCTATTAAGAGCATCGAAGTCGAGTAAGCAGTGCGGTAGACAATCTTTAAAAAGGCTTCTGGTGAACCCAGGGTGCTCAGTTTATGGCCTTTGGATACTGCTAATTTCTTTTCCAAGTGTTGCCACCAGAAGGGGCTGCCAAATGATCCAAATGGACGTCAATCGTCTGCTGCACGCCGTTTTTTAAACGACCATTTCGGTGGAAATGATTGCATGTGCCAACAAGTCTCTACCACTCATATCGGCCACATTTCAGAAAGCTTTGAAATGCCTTCTAGGGTGATAGCACCGTACGCTATTTCGAATATGTCCCCGAGGAGGCCCAAGTCTACTTCCTGAGTCGCTACGACAGCTCCGATCCCCAGCGAGGTTTCGCTTTTATGCCCAAGCTGGGCCTAAATACACACATCAACGAAATTGCTCGTCTCTACAAATTGCACAACAAGAACTGGTGTGAGGTCATTCCCTTTACTGTTCCGCGAAAAGCAGCTCTCTTCCAGGACGACCTCTATCCTGACACGGCTGCACCGGTCCCCGCTCTCTCCGCTGAGGACTGGATAGCCGGTCGCGATGCTGACCCGAAAATGGTTTGTCTCTCCTAACTTCTTTTTTTTATTTTCTGTTTTCCTTTATTCCCTCATTTACAAGCCTTACACGATCATGCTGAAACTGCAGTCAAAGAGTGGTCTTTGTTTTCGCACCTACATTCCTTCCACGCTTCGCGATATGACCATCGATCCAAGTTCTGGGCGCAAGCTGAATCCGCCTGGCTAAACGGTTAAAAAAGCCTACCTGCAATTCCGAGCGTTGGAGGTGGTTTTGACTTATTTTAATCTCAGTTGGGGTTAGCAGCCGTGGGTGGCAAGTCGTGGCGGACCTGAATGTAAACACAAACGGATAAGCTGCAAATTAGCACACCAAAATGAAGACAACTAATATCACATTCATAAATTTTACGATGCTGAATTTTCGAAAAATTGAAACAAATGGGCAAAAATATGTATTTCTAATCTTCGGGAATCCCTTTCTAGTTCCACCTAATTTGATAGTAATTAGATGATACAGGATCAAAAGCATTCGCCAACGTATCCTAAATTACAGTTTCTTTTCCAAGTGCACAAGTTACATTCGATTTGCGTTTAATTCTTTTGACAAATCCTACGGTGAACTGCGCCCATGTGTGAACCTTCCGATGAAAAGGTCACACTTTTTGCCTTCGTTGCCATTGCAGCTGCAAATGGCATCCTTCCAGAACCCCTTAAGAAATAAAAATGGTCACTATGTTGGGTACACATCCTGTTGGAGGACTGACTATGATTTCAATTAGACAGTGAGATATCCCATAGCTGTCTCCCTCCTTTACCTGAGGATAAGACATATGTCGGCTGCTCATTGGATTGCTATGACCCTAAAACCCGTCTTAATTGTGTTCTACTGGCTTTAAATAGGGCGTTCTTGTCACGCAGCGGTTCATATACGTTGGAAAATACTTTGAGCATTAATTTTTTCCACTCTCTAGGTGGCAATTACGGCGGATCAACCTGCCTCTACGCCAGCCTCACGTCCCCTGCCCGCATTCCAGAAGAATGTGACACCGGCAGCTGTAAGTGGCCGTGATTGTTCCCCGTATCACCATGCACCAAAAACCTACACAGATACATTTTTAAATGATCTTACATGACCTGCCTGCAAATGTCCTCACACGCTACTCACTGTCGAGGAGTACACTTTCGATCAGTGCTGTGAGGTGATATGTTTGTCCCAAACGCATTGGCGGTAGTTTTCAACTCTAAAATTTTATTAAAAGAAGACAGAGGTCCCATTCAAGCCCTGGGCCGTAAAGCGTCATGAGTTCCCAATGGACAATCTTATTTAGAACGAACGAAAGTGCTCAATTACTCGAGGTCAACACGGAGGAATCCTCTCTTGTCTAAACTCGGTGGGAAGCTCTACCGCACCTCAAATTAACGTTGTAGAAGCAGTTGTTGGGAACATCGAGTTTACCAACAAAGGCTTTTTCCCGCCCAGCATCGACACATAAACTGCACAATCATAATGTTTTGTTGTCTGCGTTGCGCAGGTACTGCAAGCCTTTATAAAGGGAGATATCCGACAAGCAATGCATCAGTCCTATGGAACTTCTATTCTTATAAACTCGAAAAAGGAAAATGGAGAAAATCAGTTTGCATTTACGCACTGCTCTTTAGACCGTTCTACATATAAACTAGAACGAAGGCAAGGTCAATTGTTGAGTCTGTGGGCTCGATGGTTATTTCTTGCAAGTTAGTGGCCTGTACCCTCTGGCCGATGCCAAGGACCACCTAACGGGACTACAGGCCATCTCGTGAGTGTTTTAAGTACGGGAAAAGTGGCCGCCTCCAAAAATTCTGACTTTCGGAGAGGAGCTCACCCCTGGTCGTCTTGTCATCTACCAGTTTTCTGCCGCAAGTGAACCGGTTTAATAACATGCCATTTGTTCGGAAACTTCCAGAGTAGTCTTAAACCCTGATCTCTCAAAGTGCAAAGAAGTTCATGAGTTCGTTAGTTTGTGCTTTTTATGATTGAGGACTGTTGAAATGAGAAGACAGAAAAACGCGGCAAGTCTATGAGTCCGACCTTGGCTAAAACGCAGGGAGAATCCACTGCGCAATTCATGAGTCAATTTAACGTCAATGAGCTGCACAACTTTGTCATCATTTTTCGACGCCCCAACGTTTGATAATTTAATTCTCAAGTAATAGACGCACTCAAGTACAACTTGAGTATTTTGACCCCGCTCTGTGTGACGCCAGCGGGTTGCGGGGTGGGAACACCGGCTTGGCGACAGCAGCAGGCTTTTATGAGGGTTCAGCTACGACTCAGGCCGCGTGCTACCGAGCAGGTACGGCCTGCAGATACTTACTATGCTGAGCTTCTGAAGAACTTGACCGTTGTCACCGTTATCTCTCCGACTATTCTATCATGCTGACGCGGGTGACAGGCACGGCTGAGGATATTTCAGCCAAAAACGACTGTGTCGAATCAAAGCGACCTCTCAAAACCAGCATGCTAGAAATACCAGGCAGTAGTGGGCCTTGTTGCAAAGATAAACAGCCACTTTGACGGTTGAAAGTGCTGCTATTTTAAAGCCAGGTAATGAGCATGAGTCTTCAGGCTTACTCATGAAATGTCAGCTGAAATTTCGAAATGCGTTCCCGTTTCGAAAAGACTAATAACGGAGGGTTGTAAAACTAATCATCATGCAGCATAATTCCATAATAATTCAATTACCCCCGGGTGTGGCCTTTCAAATGGATTTCTCTCCGACTGCATGCAAGAACTATACCCTGCAAAAAATGACCGCATATTTGGCATGAAATTTTCTCATTGATTTTCGATGTCCTTGAAAATCCAATTATATTTCATGTAAAACAGAAATAAAAGTGTTCATTCTTTTGCTCCTCTGGTACACAATTACGTCTTCTTTCAAGTGTATACTATAAGGAGGGGTATAATTCGGTTTTCAAATACTTTTCCAATTCCCGAATAATTTTGAACCCGACCTGCCGTTACACTTCCATTCAGGGTTTCTAAACTACAAGCCATATATTTTCTGCGTCTGGAAAACCATACATTTCTTTACGGTATTAGGAGAAGACCATATGGGGTTTATAAAATCTAGCAAAGGGTTTGAGTCATATTGCTAACTTTACAAGCCACACTAGTGAATGCGGCGACATGACGTTTTATGAATGGCCATTTCACGATATAAAAAAGTCGCACAATCAGAAACTTTTTTAAAACCGAATTACACCCTTCCTTTGAGTATGAAATTGGAAAAAGACGCCATTTTCTACCGAATGAGCAAAAGATTGAATGACCTTTATCTGTGACTGTCTCTGATGATGGATTTGAGTGGGAATCCTAAACGTCAGACTAATAAATTCTTTTTTCCAGTGTTCGCATCATCGTCTTAAAAATGAATGCTTTTATGTATGTTTTCCATGAAATATAATTGAATTTTCAAGGGCATCGAAAATCAATGAGAAAATTGCATGCTAAATATGCGGTCATTTTTTGCAGAGCATAGTTCTTGCATGCAGTCTGAAAGAAGTTCATTCGAAAGCCCACACCCGGAGGTAACTGGGTTATTGGAGAATTATGCTGTATGATGATTAGTTTTACAACCCAACTTTATTAATCTTTTCGAAACGGGAACGCATTTCGAAATTTCGGCTGACATTTCACGAGTTAGCCCACCTACTGTGGGTCTGAGATGGTAGCTTTATAAAGTCGAAAATGCAGCCAGTCCATTTAGTGTACTGTGCAGTCTGCGAGCTTGGATTCGGCGTCCTCGTTTGTTTTTGTGCAAGCACACCAACAGTTTTCATTCGGGTTGCCTAGTGTGGTCACAGTCACTAATGGGAAGTGATTGTTCCGATTTGCACGATCTGGGGCATTTAGTTTGCTCCAAAGTGCCGTATGGCGGGGCCCCAGAAACTACTGCGCCACCTCTTTGGCTGCCAAATGGGTCATAATGGCAAAAGCAAAAATCAGTTAAGACCATCTTTGTAATTTTGACAGATTTCTGTTGGTGGAAGACGGACAATCAATTAAATTTTGGCTTTTACTGGTTTTGAGGGTACCAACCTCCTAAGTAAATTCATATTAGCTTATCGAAAATGAGTGTTTTCAGACGAGATTGCATAGGTCTTAACCTGTTAGAGCTGATTATTAGATTGTCTCAGCCTTGGTCGGTAGACGTGCGTATCAAATGAGCATGCTAGACATAAACAAACTCGAGAACAACAAAAATGCTGTCCATTTTTAAATACATATCGATTTTTATGTATGCAGCAAAAACCCAATCCATCCACTCCACCTTCAACGCCCCGTCCACCGTCCACTGACAATAACTGCTCCGCGGAAATCGCCAAATTGACCGAAAGGATGGAGAAAATGGAGAAGAAGATGAGGAAAATGCAAGAACGTTTAGAAAAACTTGAGCAGTTAGCTTTAGACAGTGACGATAGTGAGTAATGAATTTAAGCTTCCGCAGCAAATGATGGTAGAATCGCCCGCCGGACGGTCTTGCTCCAACCATCACAATCACTTTAAAGTCTCCGTGTGCTCACTTTCCCGCCTTTGCCATTTTCTCTTGATAGCTGCCCCCCTCCCTCCTCCTCCCTCCCTCGCCCTGCTGGCTCGCATGCTTACTCCTCCCGTTTTTTTCTACATCTGATTGTTACTCCACTGAACTGTATCTCCAGGAGGCCTTCTCCTCGGTGATACGATACCACAACTATTTGTGATACTTTTCTAAAATACTTGCTGTTGCAGCTCTTTAATTTTCTTAGAAATTAATCATCAACTCGGTGTAAATCAGTCTATTAAAGATCTATAGGCTTAGAGTGGAAATTAGTATGAGTATTTGGCTCAAAGTCCATCAGCAACAGCGAAATAGCTATGTAATATTCATAAACTGCCAACAGGCGGCCAGTAGTACATGCATAAGCAGCACGATATACTATGCTAGGTAGCACAAGACCCCCTACTAAGCCATAACCCTCGCAGCTACGTCATGCAGAGACATAATGTTGGCGAAACGAGTGGCTGGGGTTTTAGCTGATACTTGTGTTGCCAAGTATGATATCTAGTACTACGTTCGCAGGCTTGCAGCTCCAACGTCTGGTTAAAGTGGTCGGCCTAGAACTTGGAAGGTCCAACTATCGATCAGTGAATAGGGGGTTGTTTCGCGTTAAGCTGCTTTAACAAACGCAGGGTTTAGTTTCTATCGTCTAGTGCTTTCGTAGGAAACGTCCAAGTCCGATGATTGGAAACATAAGCAGCAAGCGATGAGGAGCTGTGTGAATTCCGAAGAGCCTTCCATTGATGCCAGACCTGCAAAACCGTTTAAATCAATGGGTCTGAACATTACTCCGACTGCTGCGGGAGAACTAAAATTCGCCGAAATTCCATAATATGCTTCTACGCAAAACTGATTAGTTATGTAGTGGTGAAATCCTGGGAAACATGGTCATTTTTGGTCTTTTCCAAAGTAACGCAAGAAGCGCTCTCTCCACAAGCAGTAGTTCCTTTTTCTCAAGATAGAACCGTCATGTAAAATCCATCCTTTGTTGTTGAAACGGATTGCCAAAATGCGTGGCTCCCGATATAACGTTTAAGAGTTTAAAAAATTATTGTTTTTTGACCTTCTGTCGTTTACACGTTTTCGGAAGGCGACATGCACAGAAATGTCTCGTACAGTCGAGCACGAGTGTCTTCTGAATAAGTCAAGTATATTCGAGACCGTTGCCAATCATAGAGGTTATAGAACATAGTTAGCACAATTGAAATGGGTTTTTGGTGGGAGCAGAAGGCCCGCCCATGTTTCACAGCAATTATTCAGCGGCCGAGGTAGACGTGGCTGACATCTTTTTTCGTTTACGTCACCATATACTTTTTGGGTCGAAACCCCAGGAAAAGTCTTTGCTTGGTCGCTTCGTCGTATCCCTGATTTGAGGTTTTCCGCCAGAGCTGAATTCGTTTGGTCCTCAAACAGTATTAAACTATTCAGTCTAAGGTCTTATGCGGGCAGCGTTCACCAGTCTAGCTTGACTGTAGGAGGATATGGGGGTAGTTCCCAAGTTTGTAAATGTAGCCTCTATTGGCGAGTACGTCCGGCATTGGTCGAACAGCTTATAAAGCGAATGTAGGTTGAGGTAAGTGGAACTTTACTGTCACCCATATCGACTTCAGTAAGCCGGAAATGAAATGATATGAAAACCACATTTCAGGTCACACTCGAAAATGCTATTTCCAAAAGCAAATATAGAGTTCACAATATGAGGAATGTTGCTCGTTGTTTGAGTGCCTGCTATTTTTGAATGAGGGTCCATTAGATAAAAGGTAAGTGGGTTAGTGGAAGGCAGCATAAGTTTCCAAGACGCACCACCACAGGGAATTTCCATTAGACTTTTTTCCGACAGATGGTTTCTAGTTCCAGTTTAAGACAAAAACCCGACGTCTTTGATAGCTTTATTATTATGCAAACGGTAAGATTATTTGTTTATTTTCATCGTAACTTTGCTTGAGATTTGGACGTCCATGTTAATACAAAAAATGACCAGCCCAATCGTGATAATGCGGTGTGGTTGGCAATGTGAACGATGAGGATGTGCTTTCCACCTCCCATAATACGGATGGCCTTGCGCTATATTCCAGAAGGGCTATCTACTCTCATGTCATAACCATAACACCAACCCCAACCCAAGTCTTAACCCCAACTCTAGGTTTAACTCTAACCATAGTTCACTCGGAAGTTTACGCAAGGCCTCCTGTATTACGGGAGGTGACTTCCTATCCCTGTGTCCACATTCAAGTTCGTCAAGGCAAGGATCATATCTCTTTTTCACAGTGCATGAAAAGCTCGGTCTGCATGTCTTCGAGGTTTCTTAATCTAGCGCTGATAAAACAGTCACATATCCAAAGAATGCCCGTCAGAAAAGACTTGAACTCTGTCCTTTGGTAGTTTTTATGGAAAAAGATGAGTCCACTTCTATCGCCTGAGTAATCAATATCGTCTTCTGAGCCTTTAGACTCGCGCGCGCAGATTAATCACCAGAGACAGAGACAGTTTTCTGGTGTGACACAGCGGGTCGGTATTGGGAGACCGTTGCTGTCTGTGGAACTATGTTTTCCCAAAATGAGAGCGAAGAGTCGTCACGTGAGCAGGATGCCGATTTAGAGAGCTGCTGTGTGAGGTCAAGACGTCGAAACGCCCTTTACCACCTTATTACCGGCGTATTCCGTTACCCATGGCGAACTTCAATTCCTCACCCGCCTTCGGGGTTAAGCAGCGACTTGGGGCAGGGGACCACCCCTCGGCATCTTCATTTTTTATTAGTGTATGCGTGGGATGAGCCTGGTTGCTGTGTGAATTGTACACCAGCACGGCAATTTCCGCATAAAATTTCATAAACGACGTCAGGCTAGTCAGCTTCATTCAGCTGGCCTGTAATTCGTATTACTTTTTGGTCAAGGAAGTTTTCGCTTATTGGGCTTTACCGATACAGAGGTATGAGGGCATGTATTCTGTCACATCAGAGACCGAACTCATTTATAGGCCATTCGTCCATCGAGGTTTGGCAACTAGGATCAACTGTTTATTTTGTGAAGTACTTCGCCTTAGTGTTGTCTAGTTCTGAGAAAAAACGGTTATAAAGACGGCTACTAGTTAATTTACCCAGATATTGTTGAAATGTGTTTCGAGCTCATGGTAAACATTGAAAAACTGGGAGGGCTGGAATTCCTGTCGCCGTACATGTGACTACAGGGAATTGGGAACTTTCACAAAAAGGGCATAAATTTGAGAAACTTCCTACTAAAAAATTCAAAAAAACAACCTGGCGAGCATACGTCTGCCCTCGTAAATTCTCTTTAAACCTATGCGTTTATATGGCTATTGAAATAATGAATCAGAAGATACGGGCAGGTAGATAATTAAGCTGTAGCTCAGGTTATGTAAGGGGAGGGGAGGGGGAGAGTAAAACAAAAAAATTCCAGTCAGCACCAGGGAGAAGGTGGGTCCCGGGGAAGGTAATTATGTAAGGATGGGTAGCTTTGTGGCCTTGAGCCATGGCAACTGTGCGACCGGTATGAATTTCTTCTGTGCGCATAGGGCCGGTTTGCGTAGCCTGATCGTATCCGCCCCTGCAGTAGCCAACAGGAGCTGCCCAAGTAGTTTTGGAGAGCTTGACGGGACCTAGTAAATCACTCTGAAGGCCTTTCCGGCGTTTTCACGGTGGTCGTGTTTACCGTATGCTCGAGGATAGAGCCGTCGATGCTCTTTACTTGACCCTTTCCTAACCATGCTTGAAGATGTTCTTTTATTCTTTTGGATAAACGCCGGCTCGTGCGACCAATATATTCTGCCCAATAGGACATACATTGACTAGAATGTACTCAATAAATGACTATGTAATTCGTGAAAGGCCACTTCGGGCATTAACTTTGAATTTCAGTACTTATCCGTTCATTGACGTTGTACCGCATGTCAAAAAACTCCGCAGTCTCACTAGTTCACACGTACAGGAGTTCCACAGAAGGATAGACCCATGCCAACTTTAAACTAAGATTTACAAGAGTTCCGATGTCAGAATAGTTCGTACCCCATGTAAGAGTGGGTGACGAACGAAACTGGAGGTGGGGGAACGTGGCGTTTATAGGAAACAAAAACTTTAGCTTTTATCTTGTGCAACGGATGCGCTACGTAAGCCCTGCAGGACATGTGGTAGCATATACGTCACATGATTAGGGTTTTCAGTCTGAGGAATAGAGCCTCAGTGGCAAGCAGTGCCTGACAGAATCATTGAATGCCTGTCTCTGACGACATGCTTGACAGTAGCCTGTCCCGCGAATAAAACGGAGAATTATAGTATCCCGATGAAGCAGGAGCGACTCACTACAGCGAAGCAGGTTCCCACACATCTATCACTTTCCAAAAACGAGTCAAATCAACCGGAACTGAGAGTAAGTGCAGTGTGCAAACAGACATTTCGACTTCACTGTCTCCATACTAATATGGACGTTGGTTCTGAACTGGCGCAAGGCGGATGTCGCTCGGGGAACAGAATCAAGAATCTTCGCCAACAAAAACGAGGAGGACTGGGACATCAATTTCTTCCTTGCGCGTCGTCACCAGCCAGCCTCACGCTAACCGACGAACACAATTCTGCATGAGTTCAGAGACGCGATTGCGACTTGCCGAACCGACGTGCTCGCTGTTCTGTGGGGTAGCTTCCACCACACTCTCCTTACTCACTGCAACGGACCACTAGAGACTTGCGAAGGACCAGCGTGTGGGTCATATCAATGTGCAACGCGTGTTATTTGGGTTGTGCATCGATAGTAAATGTCACACACTGAAAGGAGTGTGGTGGTGGTGGTACATGTAGATGGGCGAATTTTCATCTTAGTGCACAGTGAAAAGGTGCTGGATTCTAAAATCACCACTCATGACGTGATGTCGGGGTAGGGCTGACTGATGATGACAAACGAACTAGAAACGAGCACTCAGGTCTGTCTTCGTCCTCGTCGGTAACGCCCCCCTCTCGGCCGCCTGTTCGTCTTTGTGTGGTCCCCATCGACAGGCCTAGGTCGGGATTCCGGGTAAAGCACGACTTTGCGGTGCATACAACCTTGAGATAAAAAAGACAGCTTGTTTAACCCCCTTGGCAGGTC